GCAAGCATGCATGGAAATTTGTGTAAAAGTCCTTAAATGGGTTCGGACACCTGGTTCTACCAAAAAGTATGATTTTTTGAATGCTCTTTTTGGTGATGTTTTTTGAGACAGGGTCTCACTATGTAGTTGAGACTAATCTGGAACTCACTATGTAGCCCAGGCTGGTCTCAAACTCACAGCGATCCTCCTGCCTCAGACTCCCGAGTACTTGGATTATAGGCGTGCGTCACCACAGCCGGCCTAAATACTCTTCTTCAGTTTCCTTATTTATAAAATGAGAATGTTACGTGTGTAAGATATTGGTATCAGAGTTATTAACGCTATCCTTTAAAACATATATAGGGGCTGGGGATTTAGCTCAGCGACACAGCACCTGCTTGGCAAGATCAAGGTCCTGATTTTGATCCCTAGTACCAAAAACTAAAACAAAAAAACATATTTAGCATTTCAGTGGATTAACACAGTAATAGTCTGTTTGGCCTGTGCCCTTCAAATGATGTAGGAATTTCTGCTCCTTCATCTGGTGTCTTGGGGACTTCTGCTGTATCTTCTGTGTTTAGTTCGTTATTAGCAAAGAGCACCAGGAAGGAGAATCTCCTGAGATATTTGGATGTGAAACATTTTAGTTTAGTTCACGTCCATTAACTAGACCCTCGTCACATAGTCTCAACTTCTAACTCCAAGGCAGGTAGGGTCTTTTCAGCATCAGGAAGAAGAAACAGGATTACCTGTGTCCATTGCAGCTCCTTAAATTTGTACTTTTTTTCTTTTTCAACTAGGAATAGAAAGCACTGGGTTTAGGGCCGGTGATTTAGCCCAGTGGTTCCGGCTCCTGCCTCGCAAGCACAAGGACTTGGGTTCGATCTCTGGTACCAAAAAAAAAAAAAAAAAAAAAAAAAAAAACAGAGTGGTTTGGTTATCCTCGGGACAAAAAAAAAAAAAAAAAAAAAAAGCACCGGGCTTGAATTTGGAATCTTCCTGCCTCAGCCTCCTAGAGTGCTGGGATTACAGGTATGGGGCCACCATTCCTGGCTAACATTTTTTTTTCTTTTGAGATAGTCTTTCTATGTATTCCAGGCTTGGCTTGAACTCAATATGTAGAACAGGCTGACCTCAGACTCCCAGCTATTTTCCTGCCTCAGCTTCCTGAGTGCTGGAATTACAGTACCAGGTGTGTGCCATCACACCTGACTCTGGTTAATGCGTTTTGATTCAAAATTCACCATCAAAGTCTTTACCCTATTGCATGTTGCTTTTTGTACTCTTGGTTCCTCAGAATTTATTTCCAAATTTCTTGGCAGTGATCCAGTTTGTAAGTCAAAGCAGCTCTAGTACTTGCTATATTTAGGAGAGTTTGCCTCCCAGGCAATTATGTCATGTTATTTTCATTTGTGACTTCATTTTGGGGTTTAAACTTCTTTTATCTCACTAGTCTTGCTTACTTTTGAATGAGTAAAAATGCATCCATTGCAAACATTTTCCAGTGCTTGTGTAAGAAATTCAGTAGAATATTGAACAAAGCCAGCACCAGAGTCACAGTCAGTGTCCGCCCATGTCCAGTCTGCCAGCCCACTAGCAGAAGGAGAGTGGACAAGCCCGGTACTGTCTCCTGAAGGTCAGCACATGCAGACTTGGGGCTCCTAGAGAAATGCATTCCAGTGTGGAGAAAATTTCTCTTTGCCTCCTGCCCACCTAAGATGAAACTTGGAGAGTCAGCACAAGTCTTCTAGTTGATTTGAGCTGCACTTTCAGGGTCATTACTGTTCTCCCCTTCCCCTGGAATATGTTACAGAGGCCCTTTTGTACACGAGTACAAAGCATAGCACTGCTCATGGAGCCGTCATGTTAGAAAATCTGCTGAGACTCTTCCAAGCCTAAGTATTCAGTGCATTCTTAGATCATTCAGTGTTTTAATTTATACGGTTTGTTGAAAACTTAATTTTGGACAAAGTTGCTTCTAGAACATTATCATTGTGGGACTTTATTTCTTTTGTAGGTTAGTAGGCCTGTTCATTGTTGTTGGTTGAGGATTTTTTTTACGGGGGTGGTTTTTGAGACAGGGTCTCACTATGTAATTGAGACTGACCTGGAACTCACTATATAGCCCAGGCTGGTCTCGAACTCAACAGAAGTCCTCCTGCCTCAGCTGCCCGAGTGCTGGAATTACAGGCATGTGCCACGGTGAGGATTTTTTGCTTGTTTGTTTGTTTTGTTTTTTGAGACAGGGTCTCACTATGTAGTTGAGACTGATTTGGAACTCACTGTGGAGTCGGGGCTGGCCTGAACTCTCAGCGATCCTCCTGCCTCAGACTCCCATATAGGCGTGTCACTCTGGCTGGGTTGAGGATGTTTTAGTACTTTTCTGAATTCCTCAGGGCGGGTAGCATGTGGGGAAAGTCATATCCAAGTAGCCATAAGTATGTGCTTAAATACAAGGAGTGATCAAAATGTACAGTGTATGTTTGAATAAAAAAATTATTGCAGGGGCCGGGGATTTAGCTCAGTGGTTCTGCTGCCTGCCTCGCAAGCACAAGGTCCCGAGTTTGATCTCCCATGCTAAAAAAACAAACAAACAAACAAATTTGCAGTACAAGACATTAACATTAACCTCCCTCACTTCAAACACACCCAGTCTACTTGTCACTTTCTGAAGCAGTTTTGAAAATTGTCTTTCCTGTGTTTATGAAGTGCCATAAAAAATACAGTGGAAGGGCCAGGGATTTAGCTCAATGGTTCTGCTGCCTGTCTTGCAAGGGACAAGGTCCTGAGCTCAAGCCCTGGCACCAAAAAAAAAAAAAAAAAAAAAAAACCCAAAACAAAACAAACAGTGAAAGCTGCCATCCAATGAAAAAGCAGGCTTCTAAAAATGATGCTGTGTTCTCATCCACTTTATTCACCAGATTTAGCACTGTGCAACTCCTGGCTCTTCCTGAAAGTAAAAATCATCACAAAAGGAAAACATTTTGAAGTAATTCAGGACATTAAAGCAGTCATGACAGAGCAACTGAAGACACTCAAGAAAGAGGACTTGCAGAACTGCTTCAGAAAGTGTCACCAGGCCTGGTGGCACACGCCTGTAATCCCAGCACTTGGGAGGCTGAGGCAGGAGGATCACTGTGAGTTCGAGACCAGCCTGGGCTACATAGTGAGTTCCAGGTCCGTCTCAACACATAGTGAGACCCTGTCTAAAAAAACGCAAAAAACAAAACAAAACAAAAACCAAAAAAAGAAAGTGTCAAGAATGTTGGGATAGGTGTGTGCAGAGAGGGGGCCATATCCTGGGGACTTAATAGCAATATCTTTTACTGTAATAAATTTTAAAAAATCAAACATTCACCATATTTTTCAGTCATATCTCTTAACTTATGAAGTAGGCTTCCTCTTCTTTCTCTTCCTTTTCTTCATCTTCCTCTAATTCTCTCTACCACTAGAAAGAAATTTCACTATGCTTGTTGGAGAGGTTTTTTCTTAAAATAGTTTTCAAAAGCTAAGAGCTGATCAGCTGTGAATATTCTTTCCTTTGCTTGATCTCCTCAGCACTAAGTAATCTTAAAATTATATAATGTATTATTCTTCCATAGATACGAGTATCACAGATACTTAACAGTTTAATAACTACGTTTTGATATTTATATGTTAACATGATGGTGATAGCCAATCTCTTAAACATTTGTTTTTGCCACATTGCATCATGTTGTGCTTTTCTCAAAGCAGAGGCGTATTTTTATTTCTCTATCTAGTAAGGGTAAGATAGCAGTATGGAGGGCTGGTTGGTGTGGTTAAATTAACTCCATTAGCTTTTTCCTCCTAACCGCAGGAGTCATGATTGCTTTGCCACAAACCGTATTTAGGAAATGGAAGAAGGGTTGAGCGTGGTGCCACAAGCCTATAACCCTAGCACTCTAGAGGCTGAGGCAGGAGCATCTGCAAGTTCAAGGCCAGCCTGGACTACATAATAAGACCTGTCTAAAAAACCCAAAGAACAAACAAAAAAGCAACTGAGGTGTTTTCCTGATATTAAGGCACTAACTGCCTTCATCCTATAAGAAAAAAAAAGGAGGTATATTGCTAGGTGTAAGTACATATACTTCAAAAATTTATTTGGAGTATAATTATGTCTCAGATAAAAGCAAAAACCATAAAATTGCAAGGTTTCGCTTGTCATTCTGCTTGTTTCTGATGTTCTGTGGCTCCTCTTAGCCAGTTTCTTAGTCTTAGCTCCATTTGTAAAGGACTTGTTTTCTGTGGGTCTCATTTTTGCCACTTGTTAAAGTGAGGGGATTAAAACCAAGATAATTTGAACTGAATTTTTTTGGGTATTGGCGATTGAATTCAGGACCTTGGGATTGCAAGGCAGGCGGTAACACCACTGAGCTAAATCCTCGGCCCTGGATGTTTTGTTTTGTTTGTTTTGTGTTTTTTGGGGGGGATACTGGGGATCAAACTCAGGTCCTTGTGCTTTCTAGGTAGGTGGAGGTACCACTGAGCTAAATCCCCAGCCCTGGAGGTTTTGTTTTAAACAGAGTCTCATTATGTATTCCAGGCTGGCCTTGAAGTGGAGGGGATCCTCTTGCCTCAGCTTCCCAGAGTGCTGAGATTACAGGTGTGATCTACCCCACCTGTTTGTTTTGTTTTGGTGTGGGGGAATTGAACTCAATACCTTGAGCTTGCCAGGCAGGTGCTGTGCCATTGAGCTACCCCGCCCCCCGCCAATCGCAGTTTTTGAACTGGAGTTTTAAAAAGTCTTTAGCTATCTTTTAGTGACTAGAAATAGAGGAATACATAGACTAAATAGTAAAAGTTTAAAAAAATTTTTTTAAAAGCTTAGGGGTCAAGTATTGAATTTTCTGAGTCATTTTATCTTTTGGGGGATTAAATTTAAGATTGAGTCGTAAAGATTGTTAAGCAGCAGTGTAAGTGCTGTGTCATTGTCATCTCTTGCTTTGGCTTACATTGCTAGACTCCAGCGAGGAGTGCTGTGTGCATCACATGGCTAACGGGGCGGGGAGGGGCAGTATCTAGCGGATGATTCTTTCCAGAGAAATAGATTGAATTAACTTACTTGGTCAGAAATGCGGCAGGCCTAGTGCCTGCTTACAGATCCAGAATGCATTGAGCCAGGCCGGACACAAGCAGTCTGGAGAGAGACCCATAAATGAGCAGGTGAGGCTTGGAGCCTTGGGATGAAGGGTTTTGTGTGTGTGTCTGTCATGTTTTATACTGAGGTATCAGTGCTCTCTAAAACAGCATTGGGTAAAGGAGCTTTGTTTTTGGGGGTCCACGTGGAAGTAAAAAGTATCAGCTCCTATCAGTGTGTTCTTTGATGTGGGAATTTAGCAGGGTGAAGGGCCTCAGTATTCTAGTAATCATGGGCTCTTTTTTGTTGCCAATCCCCTGATGATCAGGACAAATGGTGACTGAATGGAACCCTGCCAAGCTGGGAAATTCCATCAAGTTCATAACACAGCTGTTGTCCTTGTAGTGTTTAGGGAGGTACCTGGGGTGGGAATTTAATCTATTGTTCCGGATTTGGAGTTTGTTGCTCCAGTCTCCTGCAGAGAAGTTCAGGTTTGCCTGAGGGAGCATATGTGTTATGAACCCTGTCAGTTGAGAGCTGATTGCTCTAGAGATCTATACTGAGGATTTGGTTTACTTCTAGTGAAATACCATGTTGATTAAAGGAAAAGTGTTTGGTTAAATAAATTTAAAAACAACAGTAACAAGACAGTTCAGCTTGATATGTAATGGGTTTTGAAAGAAATTCATTAAAAACAAATGTGGCGGATAAGTTACCATTTAGAAATTGAAAGCTTGTGAGGTTCTCTGATGTTGACTGAAATCATGCTGCAGGAGAGGATAGACCTTGACATGGGTCAGATAATAAATGGTCTCTGGGCGTGGCAGGGAGACTGGCTTCCTTCTAAGCCTGGGAAACCAGCACTGCCTTTTGGCCATGACGTTCTCACAATATCTGTATTCTGTGTCATTGAAATTAATCACCAGAAAGCCAACAACTATGGAAGAAATTAATAATAATCTAGATACTGCAGTTCTGTCTCTTGCTCACAGTGCCCCATTCCTTAAAAAAGGACAGGATGTCACGTGTAGAGAAAATTTAAGTGAGCCCATAAGCAGTATCTTGTCTTTCATAATCATTATTAAAAGTTTATTAAAGTTTTTTTTGAAACTCAGAATGCATTTTTTCAGGAAAACAATGTTATAAATGATAGTTTTGTTTCTGAACTAATCCAGATGACAGAAGACAGTTTCCTCTTAAAAGTGACAAAGAGATTTTTAAAAAATGTTTTTATTTTTTGGTTTTTTGAGACAGGGTCTCACTATGTAGTTGAGACTGACCTGGTACTCATTATGTTTCCCAGACTGGTCTCAAACTCACAGTGATCCTCCTGCCTCAGCTTCCCGAGTGCTAGGATTACAGGTATGCACCACCATGCCCGGCTCAAAGAGATTTTTTTTTTTTTTTTTTTTTTTAGCTTGCCAGGCAGGAGGAGGAACCACTGAGCGAAATCCCCGGCCTGTCAAAGAGATATGTTTTGAAAGATGTCAGGCTTGCCTTTGGCAACAGATCTACTTTGTTCCCTGAAGCATTCCATGTTTCTAATTTGTTTTTTTTCCCCCTTTCACACTAAAACCAAAAAACTCAAAAGTCAGACCCCCCCTTTTTTTTGGTACCCAGGATCGAACTCGGGGTGTTGCCCTTTCAAGGGAGGTGGTGGAACCACTGAGCTAAATCCTTGGTCCTTCAGATACTTTCAACGGAACTTGTTTCTGGGATTAGAGGGGAAAAGCTATTTGATAAGAATTTTATTCACACACAGGTTTTTTTTGGTATCGAGGATCAAACTCAGGTCCTGCACTTGTGAGGCAGGTGATGGCACCACTGAGCTAAATCCCTGGCCCCACATTCAGGTTTTGAACAGTGGTCCTTCCAGGAGTGTGTGCTTACCCACTTTTCAAGTTTTTTGTAGGTAGTATCACGTTTAATGTTGGTGGTATTGTTGCTTTTTTTTTTTTTTTTTTTTTTTTTTTTTTTTTTTTTTTTTTTTGAGATTGGGTCTTCATAGCCCAGTTTGACCTTCAAACTTCTGGACTCAAACCATACGGGGTTAGGATTCTGCATCTTAAGAGGATGCTGGCACTGCAGAGATCCCATGTTAGAAACGTGGCTGATGTAAGCTGTGTATGGTGGTGCACACCTGTCCTCCCAGCACTCAGGAGGATCACCAAGAGTTCAAGGCCAGCCTGAACACTGTCAAAAAACCCAAAAAGCAAAGAAACACAGCTAATGTGAAAGAGTGAAATGAAAATATTTTAGTGGTTAGGAAAAATGTTTGTGTCTGTAGGAGTTAAACTTCTTTGCTTGCTTTCCCTGAGTTTTCTTCCTCCTCTTTACCTCCATAGCAGCACCTTCTGGAGAGAATTGGAGGACAAAGGCAGCAACGGGTCTTTTTTTTTTGAAACAGTGTCTCACTCTGTAGTTCAGGCTGGCTTTGAACTTAACTATGTAGCCCAGGCTGGCCTCAATCTCTTGGTGATCCTCCTGCCTCAACCTCCTGAGTGCTGGAATACAGGCGTGCGTCCAGTCAACAGGTCATTGGTCATTTTAAAGCCAGATCACCAATTTCTTATGAGGCAGTGTGGGCACAGACCAAGATAAGTGACCACAGATTTTTAGGAGCACTTGCTGGAGCTTCAGACTTTGTCTTAAACTGCTACCACTTGTTTAACTTAGATATGAATATTATTTAATCTAGCTATACCTTGAGATTAGTCTTGTTTTTGGAATTCCAGAGTTTGTGAACTATCTAAATAAACCGCACAACAGAGAAAGTGCTTATGACCTCATCAGATATTCTTATAACTGTGAACACAGAGCTATTAATAACGAGGCAGGAGTCAGGAGCCCAAGGTTCTGTTCTGTTCTGTGCCTCATCATCATGTCATGTAGTTTTCCTCTTGCCTTAGTTTACTTGTTTTTGAAAACTACTCACCAGATTATTCCACTTCAGCAGGCGTGTGTCAGAATGGGAGACCAGATGTCTGCAGCGCTGTGCCTGGTGACCATGTGGTGTCTCAGTGCCTGCTGATGATGTGGGGCTTATTTTCTGCAGAGTGGTGTCAGTTCTTCTTTAGTGCTAGCCAGAACTGGCGAGTTTAACTGTCGGTTGGATTGGCTGAAGGTGGGCATAGTGCACTGCTGAATTTGTATTTGGTTCTTTCCTGTGAACAACAATAAAGCCTTTTAATAAACCTGAATGTAGTTATAATTGAGTGTACTGGATACATAAAATAATACTCATATATTAAAGAATTGAATGGTCTGTATGAGGTTTGCTTGTTTACAGATAACTAGCTGAAGTGATAGGCTGTAAGTAGCTTATAGAGTAAACAACTTGAGGAATCATTTAACATAATACTGCTTTTACAGATGAGGGAACTCAGCCCTGGAAGGTTACTAACTCAAGTGCATACCTGTAATCCCACAGTGAGTGTCAGATTAAACCAGTGCTCCGGTGAAACATAGGAACTCCCTCACCCAGCTTTCAAATTCATTTAAGGTTAACTTTTTTTGGGGGGTGATAATACACTTTTAATTCATATTCCAACTCTCCTGTCGGTGTCGGGAGTTGGGAATGGTAACCTGAAGTTCTATGAAAACACTAGCCACTTGGGTTCCTGTGTGGGGTTATGATTAGGTTTGACGGTTTGTAAGGAGTCTTCCCTCACCATGCAGAAAGCAGCAAGGGCTCCTGAAATCCTGAGTCCAAATCCCATCCTCCTTACTTAGACTCTGTGCTTCTGCCTGGGCTTGAGCTGGGTTGGGAGTCTGCACACCCCTAGGATCCATTCATCCTAGACCCGACCAAAGCTAGACTTAGTGGTTTTTGGAGGCCAGGGGTACATAGCAGTTTACAAGGGCCATCAATCGCCCTAGCTTTTCTACAGGCTGCTAACCTACAGAAGACAGACCTCAGATTCATCACATTCTGGCTGTAGAGGAGGGAGCTTCTTTGATCCTAAACCCAGAGCCAATGTGTGCCACTTCTGTCTTTGGCAGTTTGGTGCTTTAAAGCTGCAGCATTTCAACTGTATCTATCTCTCCTCTCACCTATGAGTTAGTCTCTCTGCTCAAAACACAGTTCTGAGACTTGTTCCTGGGCTGAGAATTGGACAAAGGTGGCCTCTGCTCACAACTGCCTCAGTTTTTCCAGAGCTTTTCTGAACAGGGCAGGAGGTTTCCCTGTCCCCATCTCTCTGGCAGTGATGGGGTGCTGAGCTTCTGGTTGTGGTTCCATAGATCCTTCCCTAGAGTGATCTAGAATTCTGGAGCCTGTCCCCTCTGGAAGGGCCCTGCACGGTTCTTTACAGCCTTTAGACCTGGCCCTCTCTAGAACTACCCCCCAAACACTCAGAAGTAGAGTTCATGCATGCATTCTCTAGATAACTCATGAATTCCTCCAGTCTTTTGGAGACTCAGGAGAAGTAACACCTTGTAAAAAGATAAAAGATAAAGATAAAGATGGTCAACTAGGAGGAAAGCAGGCATCCAGAAGTCCTATGGATACGGGCAGGAAAGAGCTGATGGGCACAATAGCTTCTAGAGCTGCCATGTGCTTCTCTAGTCATTGCCAGCTATCAGGGAAAAGAGGTCCTTCTGGCTCTAGAGTATTCATCAATTCCAGAAAGCCCCTCCTCCAAGTCTGGCCAGGTAGACTCACACTGAAATAGGTGGCTACTGCTCCAGGACCACTCCACTGGCTTAACCAGAAGCCAGCAGGCCACCAGAGAGTGGCTTTAGGTTGTTCCGACCTGTGTATAAAGTCTCCCTAGTTTCTGCCAAGGCCTGGACCACACGTTGCTCGCAAGTCATGTGGAGGCAAGTCAGTGTTGCTCGCCACCCACTCTGGCAGAAGGCAGCCACAGGCTTGAAGATCTTCAGGAATTCAGAATCCAGCAGGGTGAAGTTGGCCAGATAGTGTCTCTGCCAGACAGGTAGGCAGCCCAGAAGCCGCAGGTGCCAATCGTCATGGTGGTGTGGTTGCACTGCGTGAGCCCTCCTGCCCACTGCCTGCAGAGACCACATCACCCTTGGAGGTATCAGTGCTTTCCTTGTACCACTTCATGCTATTGCTGGTAACCAC